TGTAAATCCTAGTGTAAGAGGAAAGGGGGGGAGCAGATATAGAAAGGTTAGGTGTAATTTCCCAGTACAATTTTCATGTATCTATCTGATTAAGTTGGCCGTGACTCACAAAATCTCATACTGAAATGAATGGTAGTCTGTAGGGTACCACTGGACCTGCTTTATTTTGCTATGACTTCAGATTTTTACATGGCTGAAGGAGTTGACTAAATCATCCAGCTTAACGCACTGTGTATTGATCATGGGATCTAAATAGTTGCATGAAATCACAGTGCATTTAGTCAGATCCTTCAGCCATGGGGTACTAAACCCACCCATTCAAAATAGCCATAGACGTTTCCTAATAATACTATTGGTCCATCCAGCCCAATACAGAGCAGAAAATGATGAAAACAACCGTGATGTAGTATTATGAAAATATATTTATACTGCTGTTTTGCAGTGAGTAGTGTTTCTTCAACAAGTAACAAAGATGTACGCTACGGAAATTGCATATACTCCCATTTCACATAACATCTTTTTCACGGTGTGCTGCATAAATAACATTAATTTACAAGTCAATAATTCTAATCTGTGAATTAACACTCAAACATTCTTCCCACTCTTCCTGAGCACGGAAAGAATTTGTTTCATTAGAGTGGGAAGAATGTTTGTTAATTCACAGATTAGCAAGTGGTGACCAAAGATTTCTAACCCAACAAGAACTCTGGTCACAAAAAAAGGATTACAAACACCTAATTCAATGCCGATGATGCTGTCATCTTAGCTAGAACACCAGTTGGCCTTAGAAGAGCTGTCAGTAAGTTTGCAGACTTTTGTAATAATAAGGAACTAACAATAAATTTTCAAAAGACCAAGGTTATGGCCTTCAGGACCAGACAAAAGAAAAGCATCTGGTCTGTAAATGGGCACTCATTGGAGCAGGTTTCCTGCTTTAAATACTTAGGTATGGCCCTTCAATCAAATGGGACTAGGAAAGCCCATATATATTATGTCGCCTCCCAAGGTGAAAGAACAGCTAATGCTATTCTTAAATTCTATTGCAGCAAAGGGGCCTATTATGTATCAGCTGCCCAAAAACTCTTTCAAGTAAAGGCAGTTGGACAGATGCTCTATGGTACTTCTATTAGGCCTCCTTCCTCTAGTTTTGCCCCCTTAGAGCGGATTCAGTCCAAATTTTTTAGAGCAGTTCTTCAGGTTCCGAGGTGTGTATCAAATAGACTGATCTGTCTAGAGACAGGTGCTATATAAATGGAAGCCAAAATTACTTTAGCTTCACTCCAGTATTGGCTTAAACTACATTTCCATCCTCAGGGACTAACCCACTTGTTACTCTCAGACAACTTTCAATCCAAATGGCTGAGAGCAGTTCATGATAAATTATATGCTCTTGGTTTTTCCCCCCAAGCGATTTTGAGTATGCGTTGGGATGTAGCAAAATCAGCCCTAAAACAGAGAATGATGGACATGGAGAGACAGTCCTAAGTTTAGAGCCCCAGAATCTGTCAAATATCACTTGCAACCCATATCCTATTTATCGCAGCTTGATACAAGTTTAGGAAAGCCTTCACATTAGCCAGATGTGAGGCTTTCCCCTCCGCGATGCTTGAGGGCAGATTTAAAAGGATCCCTACTGAATATATACTTTGTCAATGCAGCTCAGGAGAGATACAGACTATTGAGCACATGATGCTCAGATGTAACTGGTATAACAAGATCTGTGACAAATATATTACTCCTCTTACAACAGATATGGTGGGACAATCAGGTGCTGAGCAGTGTAACAGATTGCTAATTGATGGGAACTGGACAATTACCGAAACTGTGACAAAATTTTAGGTAGCATGCTACTCCATCCAAAATATACATTCAAATATATAATAATAGTTGCCTAATAGTCTCTATTTTATGTTCTTCCTTTATTTTATTACGCTCAACTGTATTTTTATAGAGATTTATTTTACTGTCCTAAATACAGTTATATGAATGATATGAATGTTATATTTAAGCATGTGCGTTCTATGGCTTGTTGCCGTAATAAATGCAACTGACACGATTAGAATTGTTGACTTGTAAATTAATGTTATTTATGCAGCACACCATGAAAAAGCTGTTATGTGAAATGGGAGTATATGCAATTTCCATAGTGTGTATGCATACATCTTTATTACTTGTTGAAGAAACACTACTCACTGCAAAACAGCAGTCTAAATATATTTTCATAATACTACATCACGGTTGTTTTCATCCTTGTTTGCATCCTTCCCACGATCTCTCTGTTGCTTCTACAATACAGAGCAGAGGCAGATCCCCAAGGTCATGTTTAGAGATCTTTGTCAGTTATGTGCCCACAGACCCTCTTAACTGGAGACAAATGTGCTGTACAGCCACATTTGGAGTATTGCGTACTGTTCTGAACTTCAATTCTGAGACGGCTATCAGAGCTGGAAGAGGGAGAGAAAAATGATCAGTTAGAAATCATTTCCTTTGGAAAGAACACTGAAGTATTTGAGGTTCTTTAGTTTCACAAAGACAGGGCAAGGTGAGGGAGAGATCACATAGACAGACATGACAGAAGTGTATGAAATTATGCATATGGGAAAAAATGGATAGAAATGTTTTTCTTCCTTCCTCAAAATTTTAGAACTTGGAATCACCTACTGAAATGGATGACTGTCCTTGTGGGCTGTTAAAAACAGAATGCCAGACCAGATGACCTTTTGATCTGATCAGCAGGGTTCTTAAAGACTTCAACTTCTTAAAACTTTGACGTTTAAATATGAGACCAAATCCAGTAAGGTGCAAGATGGGCCAGAATATGACAACAGACACATTTGGTTTCATCAGCATGTCTCTTTTTTAATACTGTCCCATACTAACATATTCATGTGACTACTTTAAAATACAGTTAAAGAGTTTAAGGGAAACAAATAAGACAGTCCCCAGTGTTTTTATACCTCTGTTAAATTCTTCACAACAACCAAGAAACAGAAAAGATTTTCTATAAACGTTGTAGCAAGTTGATACAGAATGTACAGTGAACAATTTTGTGTATATATATATATATTCACAAGTGCATTTCAGCACACAATACATTTTAGCAGAAATCCTGGAAAAATAGTCCAGATTTAAAACCCTCTGAGGCATAATCTCCAAAGCTAGACACCATCCTTCTTGTTTTGGTAATGAAGTGTATATACTCAAGGTACCAGTATCACTGGCCATGATGAATCAACTCTTAAGCATATTACAAAACATATTTAAAAGCCATCAGCATATCTCCAGTCTCCTCCTTCACTGCAATAAACATACATGAATTCATCTTGGCTGAAGTTATTAGTGGCCCTCTGTTGCATATATTTCATCCCATTTGCCAAATCATCATGCAAGGTAGTGTAGAAGCACTGATCCAATAAAAGATAGAACATGAAAGTTTTGGGATGATTACCAAGGAACCAGAACATGTTAATGCTTGAAAAGCTGATGAATCAACTACTGTTGAATCAACCACCCAGGGAGGGGGGAGTTTGATAACTATTAAGTCATTTATATCAGCATTAATAAGGAATTTGGCTAATGTACTATAAGAGTTTCTACAAGTATTGTACACCACCCTTAAAAGGGCTTAAAATTCATATATATACAGGCCAGAGAAGCCTTGCACATTTTCTTTGACCAACATGTAGAAAAATAAAAATATTTACTGTGAACCAAGAGATCAGGTGTTGGGACTACCAACTTCTTAAGCAAGCATTCTGTACATATCAAGAGTGCTGCAGCCTTTATTCGATTTTACAAAAACATTTTCCACTTAAGTTTTGAAAGATTTCTAGCTGAAGAGGAAACTGGATGCAGACACACACACATGCAAAGTATGAACAAGCAAGTCATGTGATCTCTTCCTACATAATCAGACTAAAGAGAACAGTGGCCTTTTCCAAGCAGGTCTTCAGTGCTCCTTCTAAGCCTTGTTAGAGAAGTCATTCCCAAGGATGCAATCAAACTCTTTGCTTCCTTATACTGTTTAAATTAAATACTTATGCAGCTTGTATGGAGCTCAAGGTAAACATGACACAAACAGAGCAAGCAGGCCCTGTCTACTGGCCAACATGGCTTCCTAAGCATAATAAGTATCCACTATAGAATTTTAAAAAACACTATATTGCCTCTCAGACAACTGTTCATCAAAAAGCAATTTGCTCCATTTTAGAACTGACAACATCGATTGGGCTCAAGGTATGACAATGCCCAATTCAGACAGACAGCCTAGCTTTTAAAAAAAGCACACAATGTGCTCAAATCAAAGGCAAGGCGGCTTAGAAAGAAACAGACACAGTGCAAATGCAAAGTGTTGTGGCCAATTAAATTGTGAAATAGAGTTCTGTCTCCCCTCCTAAAAAGATGCTCACTGGTCTTTTTTAACACTGTGTTTTAGCCTGCAAAGCTGTATCTCTCCAAAGTACTCTGCACGTAACTAGTGAAATACTTTGAAACAAACTGATCGGATCCAAAAGGTAGAGTCCTGTTTTCTATCTTTGCATCCACCCCCAACATCTCCTATCATTGGAAGGGAGTGTCTGTCTGCCTGAGTGGCACAACAGAGGATAGGGAGCCATATTTCCAATCAAAGCTTGAGTTACCACAAGGACTGAACACTGATTTAAAATACAAGGAAAAGAATTTCCAAAAAGATAAACATAAAAATCCAGTGTTTAATGAAATTATGTTTATCAATGCACCATGCACTCCTAAAGGACAGATTCATGTGTTATGGAAGTTGAGCAATATAGAGGTAGCTCCACTGAAAATGTACACGTGTTCTTTCAAAGAAACCTGCTTAAGTGGTTTACACGTTGCACTGCCACATGGTATTCCTAAAAACTCAATCAGTATTATCCGCATTCGATCAATGTAGCCATTATAGCAGAAAAGTGTGCTTTTTATTTAAAAAGCACTCAGGGTCAAGATGAAACTCTCACTTTTCAAAAGTGTGCATTTTATTTAAAAAGCACTCAGACACAGGGTCAAGATGAAACTCTCACTTTTCACTGTGAAATTCAGATTTAACAGGATGACACTGGCTAACATTTAACCTTAAAAGCTTGATGGGCTCAGAGGGTGAACATCAATGGAAGTACGGCAAAACATGAAACTTTTATTTCGACTTTGCAATTTTCTCCCTATATCCCTAATACTTTAAACAAGAGGTCTCTACTTTTAAGGCACATGATGCTATGGATTTGGAACATCTAAAGAAAAATGCGTATATAGGCGGCTGGGGGAAGAATTACCTTTTTGCAGACTGTCCTGTTGCTTTATGCAGCTTGATTTAAACCTGACACTGGACATGGGAAAAAACCATTCACACATGGGACTGGCACTCACGCATACACAATGTCTCCTATAAACTGCACTGCAAAATAGTCACGCGCACTGCAGTTTCTTTGCACAAATAGCAGCCCAATTTAAACAAGATGCTGTGAGAGTTTCTGCCTCAGCCAGCATCCCACTTAAACCATGTCTAAATGACAAGCCTGCATCACTTGCCACCCATCATGCTGAAAGCAACCTTGCTATCCACACACTGAGTTTGCAAGCCACTTGATAACAGCCCTCGCCTGGGTTGCATTAGTTCGTAGGGCTGGCCACACAAACAGGGTAGCCCTGAACAGAATGAAATCACAGTAACAGTTTTGGGAAATCTAAATAACTTCCTGTAGAATTATGATTTGATATAACTGCAGCGGTGAGACAAGGAGAACAATTCTAGAAGCTATTTTTACACAAAGTATCAAATCGTTGAGAATAGATTGTTGCTGATGAAAAAGACTTCTACCACTCTGTCACTTGTAGTAGAATTTAGGAGGAAATGTAACCTTTTTCAATGGCATGCAAAGGCAAATTAAATGTTACCCTACTTTTTTTTTTTTAAGGATATCTTCTGGACTTCTTATCACCTGCAAATTTAATATTTCTAAAATATATGGATCGCTATACAACAGAGGATAGGGAGCCGCACATCTAACCAGTTTTGGTAGAAGTGTATGTATGTAAACAATGAGATATGCTTAAGGCTTAGAAAGAACACTGACAAGTTCGTCTCTGTCACATCAAGACATCTACATCTCCTTCATGGTCCTCCTCCGTCACTTTTAAAGAAAGAACCTCTTCATTAAGAAACAAGCCACTCAGCCTCTCCTTCCGAGCCTGCCTCTGCTCTTTCAGTTGCCTCTTCCGCAAAGCCTTTTGCTGCAGCTTGCGTTGTTTAGAACGTTTCTGCCAAAAATAAAAGAAATCACTAGTCAGCTCTTTGCAGAAGAACAGTGCAACATGCAGCTCCAATTTATTTCCACGTAAACTTTTAACAATACAAGTTCCCCTCTCTCTCCGCACAGCTGGGATAACAACAATTTGAAGAGCCCAACACAAATAAGTGTGCCACCTCCCTAAACAAGGTTGGATGAAAAAGACAGCTTAAATATATCTCTTTCAATGTCATCTAGATGCCACATGGGTGAGGGGAGGAATGAAAGAAAAGTACACCAGCTCTGAAGAACTGGGACAGCTGACAAAGTTATGCTAAAATTGTCAACACACCCACTAAACCTGAATCTTCCACAATACTGATGACTGTAGAGTTTGTTCAACTTTGAAGCCATTTGGACTGAGGTGAGTAACTATCTCAGTATTTGAAAATTTAATGAAAAGCAAAAGATCCTTGCATTGATGAATGGCAGACAGTATTAACTTAGTAAGCTGTCTTATATTTAAGTGACCTAGGTCCCCACCCTCAAAAAATGGCATTAAGTTTTTGCAACATACAGAATGTAGTCCTTATTTAACTGACTAAAGAGGTAGTTGCGCAGCCCTAATAAAATCCTGTTTGGTATGAAAAGTCTCTAATGCAAAGGACCACAAAACCAGAAACTTTACTTTAGAGTCCCGGATTCGCTCCGCAGCACTTGTAGATAAGTTGCTATCACTGTGCGCCCGACTCATGTTCGCACTGGAGTTCGAACCAGAGTTGCCGACACTGGAACCACTACTGCTTGCTGAGCTGACCATGCTGGCACTGCTGCTGCTCGCGCTGGCACCGCTCACACCACTGGCACTCCCACAGCTGTAGCCACTTCGCTTCCAGTTCTCTCTTGCAGACCGCTGCCGAGGACCATGCTCTTTGATATAGTTTCTGACCTAAATGTAGGACACGGAGGGAAGGAAAGATCGAAATGACACCTGTTATCCAGACTGCTTTTAAAATGGAACCCAGAACCAGATGAGACAAATGGCTGAAATCCAAGAGGTACACAAGGGAGGCAACTGCAGCATGACTGGAAGATGGATTTATTTTCATTTCATGTATTCATTAAAATATTTATTCACTGCCTTTCCTCTTGCGTATTCCCAGTCTCCAGCTACCTGAAAACGTGGGCTCTACACTATTATATTCTAGCTTTTAAGCACTGCTATTTACAGTTTTGCAGAAGGACAAGCCACAGATGCCCCCGGAAACCACGACAGGAACAAAGGCAACGCCTTGGAAAAGCTGATTACTAGTTGTTAGGCATTTCCAGGAACAAGAAGCAACATCATGCATACCAGAAGACAGATGCTTATGATTACAGAATGCTCACACAATTTCAGTGTACCTGTTTCAGCTTTTCATCGGTGAGGCAATTTAATTCTATAATGAACTCATTATCTGTAGGTGAAATCTGAGCAGTGGGATCAATAATTTTAATAATATCTAGTTGTTCTCGAAGGCCCATCTCAGTGCTGACTTTGCGACTCAGATATTCAATATATTCAACCTAAGGAAAACAAAATGGCATGTAGTTAGTAACTATTTCAAAAACAAACCTCTCAGCACGCAGGTCCCCAGAATCACACTCAGACTATCAAAGGATACATTGTATGCAAATATTAAAAGGGGGGGACCAAAATGCAAAATTTAATTTCTTCTGTAAAATTTGGAAACAGTTAGTTCTAGTTACAGTTTATGTATGCAATTTTTAAAAATTAACATATTTGTGAAAATTCAGTCCCTGCCCCTCAGGTATTCTGGAGTCTCCCAATACCAAGGTTCCTACCTGTTCATCATTAGTCATTGCACTCCACGGCAGCTCATCAAGATTCCTGTGCTTGTTTTTCTTTTTTGGAAGAAGGCAAGGAGAACTTGGGATACTAGGTATGATGTCAGAGAGCACATCACTTCCACTTGCAACGTCACTGCCAGGCAACTTCAAAAGTACACAAAGAAAAGTGAGACCAAGACTTCCAGCTACAGCAATACAGTCTAAAGCTCCAATAATGATATCAACCCATGGAACACCAAATTTTCAATATAAGAAATGAATATATAGAAGTGCCTTACTGGTCAAAAAATCGGTCCACCCAACTCAGTACTGCTTGTTCTAACTAGCAACTGGCTTTCCGAACATCTATAACCCAAAATCCTTCAACAGGCGATGTCAGGGATTGGACTGGGGATCTTCTGCGCGCAGCCACAACCTCTACTCTAGAAACATCTGGGGTTGGGTTACACGAACTTGCCTTATAATTAGGTCATCTAGTCTCACTCTCATATTTTTATTCTATCCTTTCTCTAAGGAACTCAGGGTGATAATATATGGTTCTCTTTTCCTTACAAACCAGTGGTGTGGGTTGGGATGAGAGAGAATGACTGGTCCAAGCATACTATGACAGCAGCTCCTAAAGGGTTTGAGACAGAGGTCCTTCCCTGCACCTACAACCTAATTTCCTTTTCAATGGAGATACAAAGCACTGAATAGCCTGCACAGAAAACATAAGATCTATTGCTGAGCTATGGCCCCTCTTAAAGAACAAAGCGCTGTTATTTAATTCTGATGTGGGGGAAAACTCCTTTACAAACTGTTAATGTGGGAATGCCAGTTTTTTTCCACATAGTCCACAAACAACAGAAATATTTTACCTGCCATTCAAATTCACTGTCTGACCAGTCCCAATACGTGCTAATAGAGGAAGAAACATCACTGCAGACACTACCCTCGGGGAACAAATCAAATGATGTCAACTCTTGGTCATCCAGTAGAGAGTAACAGTCATCCTGGTCACCAACAGACACAGAAGAAAACAGTTCCTCGCTGCACTCTGAGCTGGCTACACTTGTTCCACAAGAAGTCAAGTTCCACCTGAAAAACATGAAAGTGATCAAACTTAGTCTCAGTCTTTTGAAAACTTCCAAGGTTGAAGTCCTAAGGCCGGTTATTTGCGTTCAGGAGATGACTGGTACAAACTTTAGGGGTATACACCAATTAACAGAAACCACCTTAAAATCACTGCACAGAAAAGCTCTCCATATGCATTAAACAGGTTGCATCCCAGGACTGAGCTTCACATCAGTTTTCTCAAAATGCAACAGTGCTGGGAGAGCAGAAGAGCATTTCTGGGTGTGATGGGCACTGCAGCAGATCCAAAACACACAGAGAGAATGCTTTACACAATGCATGGTTAGCTTACAGAATTCAGTGATGCAGGACATTGTGCTAGCTAATGATGGTTTTTAGAAGGAACTATATAAATTCATACAGGAGAGACCCATGAATAGTTATTAAATTGCTGTGGCTAAATGGAACCTCCATTTTCAGACATAATGCACCTCCATATACCAGTTGCAGGGAGATAACTACAGTGGGAGAATTTCATCTCTGTATGTCAGCCTTCTGGGGCATCTGGTTGGCTACTATGAGATGCTAGATTAGATGGGCCACTGGTCTGATCCAATAGTGCATCACAGAGCAGCCTCAATGGGACACTGATCTGTGTGGCCATCAGCATAATGTTGTATTTTCCTATAAGGCCCTTTTCAGTAGTACCAGTATCATCTCATTTACAGAACAGTCCCTGCCTAAAAATTCATAGGGCTTGTTCCTTGCTAGCCTTTCCAAAACAAACAAAAGCTTTAAAACACAAGCCCTCCTTCTTGCTATGCTGCTGTCCATAAGACTTTAAATAAGTGCAAGTTTAGTACTTATTAATGCTTAATATCAAACATTAATTGGATCTTGCGTCAGACCAATTTAAAAAGCAAACATTTATTCTCACGTTTATACTTTACAACAGGCAAAGCAGTTAACAATCAAAGCCAATAGAAATAGCAAGGCTCCAATATAAAAAAAGAGAAGAGCCAAAACCACCAACCATAAGCTGTGGCTCATACGTATCACCAGAAACATGGGATTCATATAATGAAAGCATGAGTCCCAAAGGCTTAGAAGGCGCTATAAACTGGTGAAAGAAACTGCATCCTACCATCAACAGCCAGCATTCGAAACTTTATCACTTTTCTACCTGGCAGTCCCCTTCCCACATCTTATCCTCACAACAACTTTGTAAGGGACAGCAGGGTGAGTGATTGGGCCAAGGTCTCCCCGTGAGTTTCAGCCGAAGCACGGATTTGAACACAGGGCCCTGCTACCCCATCGTAAACACCACAACAGACTAATTCGTCGCACGTGTGACCCAGGCCACACTCAAGCAGGCCTCCTGCCCTCCTCCCAGGGGCTCAGCCTCTGACCCGCTTGCCTGTGGGCGTGAAGGCGGCGCAGCGGGTCGGTGCGGTGGCAGGAGGAGAGATGACATCCGAAGTCGCTGACGTCCAGGCAGGCGGGGCCTTCGTCGCCCAAGCTCAGGCTGCCCGGAGCGCGGGGCGGCGGTGAGAGGAGGGCGCCGGGCTCGTACCGCCCGCCATAGGGGAGGAAGAGGGGAAAGGCTCCCGTCCCCTTCCTCGCCGGTTTGGAAAAACCCTCCCCAGAAAGCGGCCGCCGAGAGCCACCTCCACCGCAACCGGAACTACAGGAACCTCTTCCTGGTGCGTCGATGACAAGCAAGACTTCAGAGCAAGAGAGGCGCCTCCCTTCGCTTAGCAACTGCGCCCCCTGCAGCATCGGCGGCGAAGGGAAGGTCCCCGGGCGAAGACAGTGACGGGCTGTCCGTGGCCCAGGCAGATCTAGGAAGGTGGAGGGGTCACCTTTCGCCCTGGCTAGCATTTGGATGGGGAGGCCACCAAGGGATTCGAGGGTCGCTCTTAGTTGCTTGCCATAAGTCAGTTACGACCAAGGGCACTTTAAAGGTAAAGGTTCCCTTGCTCGAAAGGTTCCCTTGCTCCAAAGCCAGTCGAATCCAACTCTAGGGTTGCGGTGCTCATCTCCTTTTCAAAGTAGAAGAGCCAGCGCTGTCCGAAGACGTTTCCGTGGTCATGTGGCCGGCATGACTAAACACCAAGGCGCACGTAACGCTATTACCTTCCCACTGAAGTGGTACCTTTTTATCTACTTGCAATTTCTTGCTTTTGAACTGCTAGGTTGGCAGGAGCTGGAACTAGAAACGGGAGCTCACTCCGTCATGCGGCACCCAGGTCTAGAACTGCTGAACTACCGACCTTCCACAGCCTGCAGTTCAGCGTCTTAACCACTTGAGCCACCGCAGCTCCTATAAGGGCACACAAAAGCAGATGTAATTCCTCCGGTAGTGAGGTGTGTGTGTGTGCTTTTGTGTTTTCCTTATTGAATTCATAGCTGCGCGCCAAACATGAATTAGTCCCACCTAGAAGTGAAGAAGTGTTTAAATTCGAGCCAGTGCCAGCATCTGTTCCCATAGGCAGTCATACTAAAAAAAGGCCATTTCAAACATGCATGTACAACCTTTGTGTGCAACGCACATGGCGATGAAAAAGTTGAGTGTATGAAGTGATTCCATGAGAAAGGCTTGTCTGTGAAGTTCTGGCAGTAGCCTTCAGTCTGGGATGGCCCATTCACACAGGGAATGATGGGAGCCATGCCATCCATTGATGCTATAGTTATGGAGCCACAAACGTGCCATGTGTGTGACCATGAGAAGGGGGCCCTGCAGTGTCACCTCCAAAAGCCACCTCGTCCTCCTGCGTCCTCTTTCCAGGGGCCAGCCATGTTCGCGAGAGGGCACAAAAGTCTCTTGCTGTGGCTCCCCAGCACCTGAGATTCAGAGAGATGCTTTCTCTGAATATGGAGGTTCCATTTATCCATCCCGGCCAATAGCCAGCCGTTTCTAGACCTTTCCTCCATGACTTGGCCTAACCTGTATTTAAAACCATGTCAACTAGTGACCATTCTGGCAGTGAGCTCCCTATTATGTGCTGAAGAATCATTTTCTCTCGTTTGCTCTGAATGCTAAGGTTATGAGAAATGAATGGGGGGGGGAGTGTGTCTCTATCTCGAGTCTCTCCATACCATGCATGGCTTCTTCTTATAACATTTCTCTCATCATGTCCTCAGCGGTCCCTCCTCTAAGCTAGAAAGCCGGGGCAAGGGATGTCACTCTTCCCCTCGAAACGTGCCCTTGAGCATGAGCAGGGAACGTTCCGCCTTCCACGGCTGCGGTGAAGAGCGCTTCCTCGCGCTTGTGCCTTTGGGACGCTAGGGGGCGCGCGGGGGAAGCGGGACGTGCTCCGGGAATGGTGGCGTCACATGATGAGACCTCTTGCCCTAGGAAGCTTTGCCGGGCGGGGAGGGGGGGCTGAGCGATGGCGGCTGCGGGGAAAGCCGTGTCCCTTCCCTACCCGCACCCGGGGGTGACCGGGGAGAGCAGCTTGAGCAGAGTCAGCTTTCTGGGGGCTCGGTTGCCCCCGGAGGTGGAAGCGATGGCCAAGAGTGTTCGGGAGCTGGGCAAGGAAACCTTCCGGAAACTCCTGAAAGGTACACGTTGTTGGGCAAGAAGGGAATTAAGGCTGCAATCTTCTGCACGCTTGCTCAGGAGTAAACTCCGCTGAATGCAATGGGGCTTCTGCATAGATGTGCATAGGGCAGCGTGGGAGACTTTTCACCACTCTCCAGTTTCCCTCTTGCGGGCCTGCGAGGCTCTGCTTGGCTTGCTGAAGGTCCCATAAAACCGTAAGAGGAACCGCTTTGGATCAGGCCGGCGGACAAGGTGCATCTAGTCCGGTATCCGGTTGTACCCGGTAGCGAACTGGATGCCCTGGAGGACCAGCAAGTGGTGTATCGAGGCCTTCAGCTGGAGTTGCATCTTAGCACTGGTATGCAGAGACTTGTTTCCTCTGACTGTAGTGATTCCTTTTAGTCCCTCGACCTGCCCTCTTATGGGCCATCGTGTGTATCCCACCCTCCTCCCGATGCTTGAACGGAAGGCTTTACAGTGGTTTCCATACACAGGATGATGGGACTGTAGACCCTACAATCTTAGCCAATGTACCTGTTGCCCTTCAGGACCAAGCTCAGAGAAAACTGGGTTCTGCCAGTTGTAGCCTGGATGGCTGTGATGTCACAATGCCTTTCTTCCTTCAGCAGCAGCACTGTGACTTTTGGGGCACTGATTTCCCTCTTAAAATGAAAGGAATCAAAGGCCCATTCATTGATTATCATGTATATATGTGGTACAAGGGGAGGGACAAGGCGGATGGCTCCGTCTGTGTTGGAATTGTTGGACAGTATGTGAATTATATTAAAATGGTGGTAGGAATCCAGTGACTGTTGTACCTGTGCTTGGAGTCACAAGTTTTTGTCTTAGCAAATTGATTTCCTCTGCAGGAGGAGCAAATAGAGCTTTGATCCTCAACTGGTGGGTCCCCAGGAGGGGCATGCTCATCATTCTCTTCTAAAGAGATAGAGATGGCCGAGTGGAATGATGAGGCATGGGTGATCAGAAACTGAGGGATGGGTACATGTAAGAGCGTGAGGGAAGCAGAGGGAGTGATAAAGAGTAACAGAAGTGGATGCCGCTCAGCAGGCTGGGATCAAAGATGGGTCCTGCATCTGGAAAGTTTCAAGACTACTGAGACAGATGTTCACTAAATGTTTTACCAGTTGAATACCACGGAATACTGGAGGGCAGAGGGTAAGGCCCCTGCCCTGCATGCAGTCCACTAGATTCTACCCTTCCACAATCTCCATTCATCACATTCATGTGTATGTGAAGGGAAACTATATTAAAGGGCCTGTAACTTGCCAGTGATGAGGAGCTGCGGTGGCTCAAGTGGTTAAGACGCTGAACTGCAGGCTGTGGAAGGTCGGTAGTTCAGCAGTCGGAATACTGGAGGGCAGAGGGTAAGCCCCCTGCCCTGCATGCAGTCCACTAGATTCTACCCTTCCACAATCTCCATTCATCACATTCATGTGTATGTGAAGGGAAACTATATTAAAGGGCCTGTAACTTGCCAGTGAGGGAAGAAGGCATGCTTGCTTCTGAAATCATCCTTATTGGTTTGTTTTTTCCAGTCACCGTTAGCGCGTTAGAAGGAAGAGACTGCAGAGAGTCTGTGAAAATGATTGCCGAGAGCACCAATCTCTCAGACGAGCAGCTCGCGATCCTCATCTCTGGCATGTATACCCTCCTCAGAGAAGCCTTGAGGCTTCCGGCTTCCTCTCTGAAAGAAGACGTAAGTAGAGAGCATGCATGTTCCTCAGGAAGTGAGAGCCAAACTATACCTTTCCTTTTTCACAAGTGGGGAACTGCTTCTTCCTCAGGAAGTGAGAGCCAAACTATACCTTTCCTTTTTCACAAGTTTTCCACAGGCATGCAGCAGCTGTGGGGAACTGCTTCTTCTTTCTTTCTTTTTTTTAAAAGGAGAACAAAGGCCCCGGTCACACAGGCCGGATATCGCGGGGGGAGGCGTGGCTAATTGCCCCGGCTCAGTTTGATGCGCGATTACGCGATCAGATGCGCCAGCGGCACGCCACGGGTCCTTCCCTCCGCGCCGGCGGGTAAACGAGGGACCAGAGGGGAATGCTGCACGCTGGCGCGATCACACCACGGGTGTCTGGAGGCAGCCCGTGGCAAACGTTTACTAGTACCTTGGAGGTACTAGTTTTTTAAGGCGCATTGTCGGCGGTAAGCCACCGGTGCGCTCCACTTCCCAGATGTTGGGACGTGATCATGCCCGGATAATCCGCCCACCATCCGTGCCTCTCCCGGGGCCAAAGATGGGCTTGGAACAGCATGGTGGGGAGAGGAAGGTGCTGCCCCCTCAGCAGCTTTATTGCATGAAAATGATATCACGAGAAGTTATTCTGGTGATTCACTGCTCCATGGACACAGATAATCCATGTGGAGCAGCAAAATCAGCTAGATAATTCTTTCTGATGCTGTTTTGCACAAGAAAACTGCTTGTGGGGGAGGCAGGAGCCCTCCCCCCATGGCATTGTTTTGAGCCCAGTTGGGCTATCCTTTTTTTAAAAAAAAAGAAGAAGAAGAAGCAGTTCCCCATGACTGCAGAAACACTTGAAAATGCATGAAAGAAGGTAATGCATAGTTTGGCTCTGAGGCAAACTGCCTGACTGGTGGATGTGCTCATTTGAAACGCATACGTGTCTGTATGCCGTGATCTAATTTGGTTAACAAAGCTCCCCATGAAGACCTTAAAGCCTAGTGCACTCCCCCAGTTAAAAAGTCTTAGTTGAGTCAATGTGTGGGTTTTAATCGATTAATTTGTAGATTGTAATTGATTACAAGTTACACATGAATAATGCGATAGTTTTTTAAGGAGGAAAAAAAGACATCCTTTGGCCTACGTCTGTGTGGTGCGGTGATCCGAATATCAGGCAAGGCTCTAGGAAACCTGAGTTTGAGTCTCCGCTCTGCTATGGGAGCCTGCTGGGGGGACACTTGGGGCCCAGCCACACACTCTTAGCCCCACCTACCTCACAGGGTTACTGTTGGGAGGATAAGATACAGGAAAGGAGAAGGATGTTGTAAGCCACTGGGTTTTTTTGTGGAGGAAAAGCATCTATAGATCTCTCAATCTTCGAAGAGGGATTTTCCCAGGAGAGAGTGAACTGGGAGCACTTCTTCTAAGTAAGGGCTGCCAATCTTCCATCTTTCACATTAAATGTCAGTAACATCTTTGTTTTATTTGTAAAACATTTGCCTGATTAATCAGGGATATGTTTTTGGTCATTCATGAGGTGTTTAATCTATCACTCAGACTAATGGTGACTTAAATGGACTTAGAGGTCCAAATTAATGGTGACTTAAATGGACTTAGAAGGGTGCAGCTCCGATGGGGATTGGATTGTAAAGGTTTCACCCCTATTCAAGGCACCTCCGCATGTTTGGAAGGCAAGTAAAACTCTTCTGAAGTGCTTGTGGTTAGAGGTATGGGATCACTGCTCTCCACACCAAGGAGGTCGTCAGTCTCGTGTTCGCAAGCAAGAAGCTCTATCCCCCTCGGAAAAGCATTTCCTATACTTTGCCTATAGGTCCAGGTAGTGCCCTTGGAAATAAATCCGATGCCAGGATTGGAAAGTACTCTGGGGTTCAGGCAGTCTCTTTCTCCTCACTGCATGAGATGGGGCCAATTGCTGTAAGCATCTCTCAGCCCAGTTTTCAGCCCTTGGGGACGGCGGGGGATAAATATAAACAATAAATAAATATTAAATTATTGACCTTTCTTTTTATAGATTGGTATCAGGATGGTTTATTCCCCGCCTAGTGCTTTTTAGATGGTTCTATATTGTTCAATGTTTTATGAAGTGATCGGGTTGTATACCCAGACAAACACTTTGGCAGGCACCTGCAGAGTGATTTTTCATGCCTCCCGGGTAGGTTGAAATGCCCCCAGAATCCTAGCTTTTGCAGGGCATTTCTTGGGGAGGGGGGGTCCTGCTATGTGGACTGAGGTCTTGCTCGTAGAAATGTTAGTCTGGCTCCAAGCCATTGCATGTGTGTGTTACAAACTGTCTTGAGGACATTTGAGTGGAAAGGCAGTCTAAGAATGTGTTAAATCTTGCCAGAACTGCAGAACAATCTCTTTTTTGTTGACAGGTTTTTAAAGAAGATCTGAAAGAGCTTAGGTATGTATATTATTATTTCAATTAATTGAATCTTTGAATTCCTGTACAAGATGCCCCTGTGATGGATGCCTGCAACCCTGGAGAGCCACTGCTAGTTGGGATAGACAGTACTGATCATTATAGACCAAGGATTCAATTCAGTAGAAAGCAGCTTAAGACATTCAAAGAGAGTGAAGCTCTGCCCCCGAGTGACACTTGTCCATTTGAATGTATGTAATGGGCCTATGAGAATATACTTGAACGTGTTTACAGTTCTCTCTTTGCGGCTGGGAACCCTGTGTAGACCTCCGTGACCAACTGCTCCAATGCACAGTAATTTATTATGTCTGGAAACCTGGTTTCTACATCGTTACTTGAGAACACATTTGCCCAGTCATTGTGAGAGTAGTTAAGTCACCCAATATTTCAGTATTTTCTTTCTAGTCACCTCATTTATTTCCATCTCCATCTTGAGATCCACCTCCTGATTTTGATTGGGGGTGGGGGGAAAGAAAGTACGCCCCCACTTTTAAGTAACCCTTATGGCCTCATATCTCCATCTGTAGCAATTCTGTGGGGGAGTTTCTTCCCATAATGCTTTCCAGCTTATTTGACTCTGTGTTCTCTTTGATATACAAAGCACCACCTTCCCCAACACATCCCTCCCTGTCCTGGTCTGTACACTTTATATCCAAGGATGACCGTATCCCTTTGATTTTTCCCTATTCCCCCGTTTCTGAAACACCCACTAAATCTAAATTGTCATTTAGCTGTGAGCTCCCCAGCAACCCTGACTTGGCTTGGAGGCTTCTAGCACCAGCACCTCTTCTTAGCTTCCTTCTCTAAACATCCCCACCTCCCTCACCCCACCTCCCTTTCCCCATACAACCCTCCTTTGTTGCCCTACTCTCATTCTCAAGCTCTAGCCAATGATATATTCCCAAGAGGTTTCCATGCCATCTCTTTAGGATGGGTCATCCTGTACCGGAAGCTTCCCATTCCTGTCAGCTTTCCCCCAGGGGTTAACGTAAAAGCTGCTCTGCCACCTTTTTGATATTAAGTGGCAGAAGCCCGGTTCCCTTTTCAGTTCAGGTGAAGCCTGTCTGTGCCCATCTCTTAGAAGATAATGTAATGAAGCACTTCAAACACCAGGAAGTGAAATATAAGTGCTAATGATTATAGCCACAGAGGGGTCTACTTTTTGCATCAGGAAGCCTCTTCCTGTAGCATCCATTCACCAAGAGCTGAATAGACCCTTCCGTGGCCTTCCCAGCACCATGGTAATGTAACCCCCAACATAAGAGTGTTCTTAACATAAGAAGCAACACAAGAGGTGTCCCTGGTACATGGCAGGTTCACTGTTTAAACTGTAAACTCCTTGGTCAGAGATCTCTCTCTTTCTGTGCTCTTTAATCTCCCTGTCCAGTGATGGCATTACATAAACAATGCCTACACCTGTATTTATTTAGGTGTTTTCTGTGCTGCCACTTCAGAGTCCTGCTCCAGGTGGCTTACAGTTAAAATAATGTAACAATATAAAATAAGAACACCATCTATATCTCTAATAGCTAAGTTGCCCCCTCCGTGTGGATATCTAAATCCACACATCAGGGGCACGGGGGGGGGGAGAGAAATTTTCCTGCAGACTTGGAGCAGTCCCCAGGTGTGCAGAAAAATCTAAAAAGTTGAAAAAAGTATACGGGGGATACTTAAATCCCCCCAAAAAGTGAAAGAGCATTCCCTGTGCAGGGAATGCCCTGGCAACTGTCTCACCCTTGCTGCTGGCGTGGGGAGGGAGAAGGCTTGGCGGGCTGCCGCCGCTGCGGGGGGGGGAGAAGGCTTGATGGGCCACCGCTGCTGGTGGGAGGGGGAGTGCTTTGTGGGGAGGGGAGAAGGTTTGGTGGGCCCAGCGGCTGGGAGCCATGCAGCCCTTGCTGCTGGTGCCAGGAGGTGGGGGAGAAGGCTCACCTGCTTCCTCCTTCTCCTCTTCCATCCACGTGGAGCTCCCCCCCTCATAAGTATTGCGGGTCCCCCTTCTTGTTACACAGAAACAGCATGAAAGCAAGCCATAAAGCAGGCCATTAAAGAAGCTTGTAAGGTTTTTTTAAAAAAAAGATGTGTTTTGGCCTGATGCCTGAAAGAAAGTAAAGTAGGCACCTGGCGAGCCTCAAGGGGGAGGGTGTTCCAAAGGGAAGGTGCCGCCACAGAAGGTGCCCTGTCTCTAGTCGCCGCCTACCTCACCTCTGCAGGCCGGGCCACAGAAAGGAGGGCTTGAGAGGCAGATCGTAACTGGCGGGCTGGGCAGTGTGGGAGGAGATGGCTCTTCAGGTACCCTGGCCCCAAGTTGTTTAGGGCCTTGAGGGTAAGAAACGACACTGTGGATTGTGCCTGGAAACAGCTGGGTAACCAGTGCAGATGTTTCAGCACAAGGGTGAGGTGCGTATCCAGCCTCCACCAGTAGCCTGAAGGCTGCAGTTTGAACCGATTGAAATTTCTGAATGGGTTTCAAAGGCAGCCCTATGTAGAGCACATTGCAGTCATCTTATGTGACCAGAGCATGGATCACGGTGGCCAGCGCACACTTTTTGAGGAACAGCTGTAGCTGGTGAACCAGCCAGAGCAGATAAAAAGTGCTGTGTGCCACAGAGGAGACCTGAGCTTCCAACCATAAGCCAGGACCAAGTAGCACCCCCAAGCTAGGATCCTGTTCCTTCGGCCGGGGGGGGGGGGAGTGCAACCCCTTCTCGGACAGGCTGACTACGCAGTCCCCCAGCAGTTTCTCAATTGACCAAGAGCAGCTCAGTCTTTTTTTGAGCCAAGCTTCAGTTCTGGCCCTCATCCACCCCGTTGTCTTCTCCAGGCACCTATTCGGGACTTCCACAGAGCCACCCAGCTTAGCTGTTAAGGAGAAGTAGAGCTAGGTGCCACTTGGACAACTGATGACTCTCCTCAGAAGTGCTCAGAGCAACTTAAGTGTTCTGTGGTGGTTGGTGGGAAAAGGTGGTGACCTGAGCAGTCACAAATAATCTAGACACAGCTGCTGCTTCTTTTAAACAATATTTTCACCTCTACAGCCAGTAGGAGGTGTGGATGAAGAGGAGAAAGTGGAGGCCACGGATGTTGATTATTCCTGATTTTACAATAGATCCCAGACGAGTTCCTAGCAGATACTAAAGGTGATTTCTCCTCTGATAACAGGGAGGAGAATCTGCATATGCTGCCTGCTGATTTTTAGTGCAGTGTTATCTTGCTGCGGTGGCTCAAGTGGTTAAGACGCTGAACTGCAGGCTGTGGAAGGTCGGTAGTTCAGTAGTTCAAGACCCGAGTGTGCTGCATGACGGAGTGAGCTCCCGTCTCTAGTTCCAGCTCCTGCCAACCTAGCAGTTCGAAAGCAAGAAATTGCAAGTAGATAAATAGGTACCACTTCGGTGGGAAGGTAACAGCGTTCCGTGCGCCTTTGTATTTAGTCATGCCGGCCACATGACCACGGAAACGTCTTTGGACAGTGCTGGCTCTTCGGCTTTGAAACAGAGATGAGCACCGCAACCCTAGAGTCGGATTCGACTGGCTTTCGAGCAAGGGAACCTTTACCTTTACCTATCTTGCCAGAGCTTAGAAAAGAGCAAGAGTCCACCAGCACCTTGAAGACCAACAAAATCCGCGGCAGGGGATGAGCTTTCGTGAGTCACTGTGAGCGCATCATGATTCACAAAAGCTCCTACCCTGCCACAAATTTTGTTAGTCTTTAAGGTGCTTCTGGACTCTTGCTCTTTTCTGCTGCTACAGACAGACTAACACGGCTACCCATCTTGATCTTTCTTGCTAGACGTGGTTGGTGATTTGTTTATGCTTAAGTGTTCTGTAGATCTGCAGAGTGCAAAAATGGCTTAACAAAAGCCTGTCACAAAAAGATGACAGGCAGTCACTTGCTCTGCCCCCCCCCACCCCAAATCTTCTTGGCTTTTGTAGCATGAGCATAACTGTGGTCCCATTTGGATGTAATCCTCATGCAATGCTTTGCTAATGAGGTCACAGGAAGCTAGTAGTGTTTGATTCAATGCTGACTGCAGAGCCCATCTTTAATTGGACAGTGGCATCATGCATTGCAGCATCTTCCTTTACCACATGTGCCCGAGTATCCATTGATCCCTTTTGGATGACAAGACAATCTGTGGTTTTGAAAAACAGACGCTGTCCCACTTCAAAACGTTTCCTTTGTTTTTCAGAGGCCAGTGATGTAATGCTAGGGCAATCCGCCTGTATTGTCTGGGTGTGATCGCTTGTTCTAATTAGCCAGCAAAACACGATGTCTGTGACATGGACTTAGTTGAAATCTCCACTGGGTGGCTCAAAGTGGAAGCTCGGGATGAAATCGGAGGCACCGCAAGCCTCCATTTAAAGCCTCCTGTTACAGCATTGTGCAATATCATGACACAGCAAAATCCACAAGGGCCAGAGACTACCAGGCAAAGAACGGGCTCTTTTGTTTCTTAATTTGCTGGTTAAAGTTCCCTTGTGTGTAGGACACATGGTATTGTGTGTGTGTTGCTGCCGTCTGAGTTGGGTTGTTAAATGGAATGTTTTCTATTTGCAAGCATTTGCCGTGTGTCTCAGTCTGTACCCTTCTCTGTTGAAGGATCCCGGAAGAATTCGTTGTGGACTTTGCCACCGTAGCCTTTGGAAATAGGTTGGTAACTTTATAAGTCAATTGTGTTCTCTTTCTTTAGAGTGGTATAACTTTCTGAGCCATATTTTAGTCAGCAGTGCCTTGAAGACAAGTGGGGAAATGTTCCAGCCCAATGGGGGGGGAAATTATATACATACATGCGTGCATCATATATGTATGCATAAATATCCCAACCTCATAACTCTTCCACCCTCATATAGTCCTAGATGTTACAGCATAGGATGGGCAGACAAGGTTTTTTCTTAAAGCATTTGTTAGCCATGGGCAAGGGTCCCTTATGGCCTGGGACTAACATACCTTAAGGAAGCCTTCTGCCATATGAACCTGCCTGTACAGAAGCCATCTTCTGAGGCCCTGCTTTGGTTCCCCCTGTCATCTGAAGAGAGGGCCTTCTCCGTCATGGCACCAAAACTTCAAAACTCCCTCCCCAGGAAGATTTGTTTCTCTTCCTCTAGTATTGTAAAAGGCTAGTAAAGACTTTTTCTAAAAATTTCATTTGGCATATCCTCAATAGCACTTATTGACCCTCCTCCCTGGTTCTGGAGTTGCTTGTGTGTTTTTATTGAATTATTTTATAATTTTAAATGTTTTTAATTGTGCAAATGTTTTATGTCCACCGCCATGAGAACCCTGATCGAGCAGAAAGACAGTATAAAAATGGTTTAAATGAAATAGATAATAAACGGCTGTTAGGCTGCGTTACTCCAGGGATGGGCCACACATGGCCCGCACCCATTCCCCCGGCTTTTGTTAGAGGAGAAGGATGTAGTCTTACGTTTTTAACAAAGTTGAGTTTCTGGTCCTCATTGCTGCAGAAGGCAAGCTCAAAGACCTGATTGGAGAAAGTGAGAGAAAGAGAGAAGGCTTTTGTCAGTAGAAAACAGTGAGTGCAACGTTAGCCTTCTCCTGGTTGTTGCATTGCAGACTTTGTTGCTAGCCACGGGGAGGGCTTCCTGAGCTTGCCTGGAAGCTCTTGAGTCAGTCTATAGTGTAAAATCCTCTTTGGAATCCAAACCCATTGCTGAGTGTTGAGTGAATTATTACGCGGAAGGGCTCCTGTAGAGCTTCATTTATTTCATATCAGAGTAGATTAATGCGCTGCATTCAATCCAGGTGGATGTATTTATTTTTCAATTATTTTTTTACCTTCTGGGTTTTTACCTTCAAGAAGCTCAGGATCCTCCAGAACCAGCTGAATAAGCCCTTTCTTCTAAATTAACATGATATCGAGTCAGCTTCTCTCAAGCCAGGCCGTGTGTTGGGCTTTTGAGGCAGTTTGCTAATACAGAGCAGCCTCAGCTTTGATCAGCATCCAGGGCTGACTAATGACCTTCTCAAGGCTTCCCAGGGTTACACCCAACCTAATTGACCTACTTTTTAGGCTGAGGAAGACAGCTGGTGAATGTATTTTCCCTACGCTTGGGTGTGTCTGCGCAGTCAAAGGGGAGGCCCACACCTTGAAAGACAAATGAAACCTGAATTTAATTCCTTAAAAAAAAAAAAAAAACCCTTTCTTTGGCAAAAAGGCACCATTCAATAGGAGCACTTAAATATTTTAATTGTCTGTGTAGAACATCCCATTCCAGGAGCTTCTGGGCTGGTAACATACTAGTCATTCTTCCCTGTTCCTGCCTCTATGGAAACCCAGATTGAATTTTTAAAATTCTGGAAGATGTTCCAGCTCAAGCTTCACCAAGTCTCCATGAAAAGAGAATTCTAGGGTTTAAGGGGAAACTACGGCATGCCTTTGAGGACTGTTCTCTATGCACGGATGACTTACTAGCAACTGTGCCAGGTTGTGGTAAAACACAGGGATAGGGAGAATCTCTTAAATGTAAATCCCCTTGCTTATTACTGCAGTCCACAGATTCCCCCCCCCCCTTTATTGAGAAAATGTGTATGTTGCTGCTCCAGAACCTACTCAAGGGGACTGACAACTGAAAGGGTTAGCAACAAATGAACAAAAAACAATAACAAGTCAAACCATAAAAACATACCAGGGCACAAAGGCAGGATCAACAAAGCGGACCTGTCTAATATGATATTGATCAAACAGTCCTCCAGCTTGGAGCAGGCCAGAGCCCCTAAAAAAAGTGGAGTACCTTCGTTTTAAAAAAATGAATTAACGGGAGCCCAGACATTTAGTACCACCTTGTTTGGCCTGTCTGCATTCCACTTGCATATACACTGCAGCTGCAGTGGCTCTCGTTGGCTGTTCCTTGAAATATACATTGGCGTAAAAGTGAAACGTTTAGTATAGATGCACTCTCAGATTTCACACCTACTGTATAGCCCCCTGGGTTAACTCTGGTCTGACTAATGCAGAGCGGGTGCAGAAAAGGAATTCCTCAGGCACATAGAAGAACTTCATGCAGTCAAGGAAAGGAGTTCCACAAAACTCAGTTGGAGACAGGGGAGATTAATGTAATCTGTATGCGGCTGTGGGACTGGTCTGGAAGCATCTTTGGTGCATTCATTCCAAAGGTACTTCTCCTCCTCCAGAGTCAAGCTCTAGAAACAGGAGGTTCTGCAGGTTTGAAACAGAAGCCTCCCATGCAGTGTGTTGGTTGGCTGGTCTTCTGTGATGTCACCAAGCAACCTCTCTCTCTGGATAGCCCAGGCCAGCCCAATCCCATCAGATCTGGGAAGCTAAGCAGGGTTGGCCCTGGTTAGTATTTGGAAGGGAGATCATAAAGGAAATCGAGGGTCGCTATGCAGAGGCGGGCAATGGCAAACCACCTCTGAAATCTCTTGCCTTGATAAATCCCTATGGGATCGCCATAAATCAGCCGCAACTTGACAGCACTTTCCACCAACAACAACCTCCTTCCTAACAGTGTTCCCTCTAAGCTGAGTTAGTGTGAGCTAGCTCACCATTTTTTTAGCCTCCAGCTCACACATTTTTGTCTTAGCTCAGGAAGGATAGGCTCCAGAGCAAACTAATGTATACAGCAGCTAAATCGCTCACTCACAACTTTAATGCCAGTGGCTCACAAAGTAGAATTTCTGCTCACAAGACTCCACAGCTTAGAGGGAGCATTGTTTCCTAAATCCCTCAGGCATTTTTATATATATATAAATGTTTGGTTCAGTTTGGTTACTAATAAGGCATTAAATAAATGGAAAAACATAATGGTGCTTGAAGAGGAAGAAGGCTGTTCACTTTAAATGTGGGGAAGGGACAAAACTGAGTTTCAGTTTGCTGTAGGGCATCTCCATCTCTTCTGCTGGGATTCCAGAGGGAAGTCAATGGAGATGAGCTACAAGTTTTATCTTTTCGTTACGTCTGTCTGCACCCTGTGTTCATGCTGACCCTTCTTGTAACCGGAATGAAAGCATCTCATTCCCTCCCTGACTAGATCTAGACTATCAAGAGCCCTTTTGAAACAAATTATTATTCACAGCCGCAAAGAAGAGGCTATAGTGACCTCATCCACTTCCTCAGGAAAGTAGCTTTAAAATATTCTGTAGATCCATCCCAGGGATATGTTGACAGTCAACTGGTGAGAGACCTAGTTTAAGATCAATCTCTAGGGGGCCCTTCTGCATGGACAGGGTGCTGTAATAGACTGCAGGATCTGGCTGCAAATCCGTACCTGGCCATGGACTTCACTGCATGGACTTTGTTCTCTCTTAACCCAATCACCTCTTACCACCTTGGTGAAAGTGTGAGATTAAAAATGTGCTGGATGGATAATCCAGCTGTCAGACTCACCTCTTGCCAAACACTGCAGGAAGCCAGGTTGCCTGCCCTTTTCAGTTTGCAAAGGGCTGCTTTGTTTTAAAAAAATCAGCAGATTGTTCATTTCCTTATTTATTTTTAATTAACTCTGAAAACAGTTCCCATGAAGGGGAGTTTGTGATATCTCAGACACTAGCCAGTCAGCACTATGCGCAGCCGAGAGTTTGTTTTGCAGGACCATTTCCCCTGAGCTCAGCTCTGGAGACAATGAGGAGGGTTTGACAAGAACACAGTGAATGTGCTGCTAGAGTGCAAGTGACTCCTCGCTTTTCGTATGCTTGTACGTACTTTGGTGCAAATTGTGTGCTTTTTTCTTGTAAATATCTTTATTCTATGCAGTGAGTTTCATTCCTACTGCCAAGCAGAATACATAAGAAGGCTCTGAAGCTCTCATGTGTTAAATTAGGCAAATGCTAGAAAGGAGATCTCACGTATTACATAAGGAACTTAAATCTTCTCTCTGTACTTGTAACAAGATGACATTTGGCTGTGTGCCAGGGGCCGTGGTGCTGATGTTATTTGGAAATGAGCTGGATGCTGACAATTTAGGGGACGATTCCGGTAATGTTTTTTCCTCCTCTCTCTTGGCAAAGAGATGCAGACAAAACACCATTATTAAAAAAAAATCTGGAGTGGCTCTTGTTAATGTTTAACTCAGCATTGGAAAAGGGTTTTTTTTTGTTTTTTTTTATCTCGCCCAAGCTACCTCCTTCCTACATCCTCTATCTCATGTCGCTTTTGTCCATGCATTTTCCATGACCCCCAGCGTAGTCTTTTCTGTGTTCAAAGGGTCTTTTCCAGAAGCGGAAGAATGGGTTGGATCTGTAACGCACCTTTTAATGAAACCTGCTTTTAATAAAAGGTTTCCCAGTGGTCTCCCACACAGATCTTAAAACAGTCACAACTCGCACTTTTTTTGTAAGAAAGAAAGATAGGAAGGTGCTGGTATTGATTTATAATGTTGTGCTGATTTCTACCAATTCCCCCATCAGACTTGGAAGAGCCCCCCCCCCCCAAAAGGTGCTGGTACTTAGTACTGATACCACAACAACAACAACAAAAAGCCTTGCTTACAACACTCAAATAATCAACACCCTCCAGAACACAGAACAACAGTTAAAATCACCCAAACCTTTGGGTGCACAACAGCACCACCCACTAATAAGGATGATTATATAACCATTACAGATCCAACCCTGTGACTTCAAGGGGACATTTTTTTGTTGCTTCCTGGCTGGAGCTTTTTAGACAGGGCAGGCTAAGGAATGAAAGAAAGATCAGTGTGTGCCCAGCTGTCCGCAGACTTTGCAGAGTGGGACTTCCCCACTTCTACCACGGGCTGCTCAGCCCCCTGAAAGCTTGTTCCTAGGGGGGGCATACCAGATTAGAACGAACAGCAGATGCCTGCTGGGGAGGAGAATTAGTAGAAATCTCCACCCTCTCTTCCCCAAATGGAAATGTCATTGTGTCGGAGGAACTATGTGGCTGGATGTATGCCAATAACAGTTGGTTTTTATTTTGCTTCCTTGTTTATTTGAAATCCTGCTTCTCTCCTATCAGACAGCTTCTGGCAAGACCAAGAAGCAGTTTTTCAAATTAAAAAAAAAGATTTGTAACCACCAACTGCATTTTCAGTGAGTAAACACATAGTAGGAATGATAAGAGCATTGAAATCAATATTAGAAGACGTGTGACCACCGTAGCTACATTAATCTGAATAAAACCAGTTTCAAAGGATATAAACCCTGGTAACACCCAGAAGTGCAAGAAAGGTGCTTCAGAAAGTCAGTGCATGATCAGTCCTTATCGCACTGCAAAGTAGGCCCAAATTGCCATCTTCCATGTTACAGATGGCAAGGTGAGTCTGAAGCAAGTGAGTTGCATAACTCTTCCTGCAGCATTCATGGCCTTTTGGACATCTCCTGGTCTACAGCTAATTCTCTTACTGACGCCTTGTTCACGTAAAGTATCCCGTCTGTCCAGTTTATTGCCCCTATGACTTGCTTTACATTTTTGTACTATTTCTCATGTTTTGTTTTCATTATCAGGCGACCCATTCTTGAAGCCACAATTCAGAGTCAAGCTAACAAGTTGCCTAGAGTCGAAGATTTCAAGTGGAGAGTGGATGTGGCTATTTCTACCAGGTAAAGAAGAGTAAGACGTCCATACATCTTCACGGGGAGGGGGTCCCATGCTTAAGTCATCTGGGGCTGCCACTTCTTTTTTTTAATACAGAAGTGATTTTGTGTACAACACTGGATGATAAACTGGGGGGCAGGAAGTAAGAAGTCAACCAGATCCTCCTGTGAAAGCTAAGTTGGCATTTCCCAGGCCTCTGAATCATATTAAGACCCTTGGAGAAGGCCATCCCCCTGTATTCTGGACATCCCTCCTAATCGGAAAGATACTAACCCAGAGCAGTGACTCATGCAGAGACTGCATGGGCAGCCTCCTCTGAGGGCAAGTAAGTGGGAGAGATTGAATGATCTATTCACACCCAATGTGGAGACATAGTAGAATTACTTGCCTGCATCAGAGTCTGACTGGGAGGAGGAAATGCCAAAGTTAACTAGTCCTGCAGAGGAAACCAAAATATGTCAAAGGGGAAACCGCAAAGAAAGAAGAGGGAGGTGGAGCCAAGGATATGCAGGCAAGGAACAGCTGGTCAGTTCATGGGATCAAACTTAAGACTTCATTGGGGGGGGGACCAATGCCCCCTCTAAGCTGTGGAGTCTTGTGAGCAAAAATTCCACTTTGTGAGCTACTGGCATTAAAGTTGTGGGCGAGCGATTTGGCTGCTGCATAAGTTAGTTTGTTCTGGAGCCATCCTTCATGAACGAAGACAAAAATGTGTCAGCTAGGGGCTAAAAAACACTGAGCCAGCTCACACTAACTCAGCTTAGAGGGAACACTGGGAGGGACTAAAGGGTGGTGCCAACCGCTTGACAGAAGAGGTTGGTCTTGAAGGAAGCAAGAGAGGTGGCGTCATACAGGTGGCTGGGAAGGCAGTTCTAGGCCTCTGGGGGCAGTCAGGGAGAAAGAGCAGAATCCCCTGAAGGAACGGAAGACTTTTGCATGGTTTGCGCTCCTTTGAAGCGTCTGGCTACAGTCCTCACCCACTGGCTGCAGTTTCAGTGACTGTCTGTTAGACCTGACCTCAGTTTCCATTCTCCCAACTGCTAGGCCTTGTTTTTTATTCACCTGCTAGTAGTTTGCCAGGAAGTGGCTTTGGGCTGCAGAGGCAGGGAGCCGATCTGCTGATAGGAGGGGTGGCTGTAGGAGCCTGGCCTGTTGGCCTGACCCTGTTGTGCAATCCCTTCCCACCGGCAGTGTGGAGGGAACTGTCTTCTCCTGCTGACCTGGAGTCAGCACTGATCCACGGTATGCTGGCCAAACATTATTCCGTGCTGAAGAGAGACGGAAAAGGCTGCAGCTAAATATTCTTCACCCCAGTTGCTTTGGGAGGTACAAACACACCTTTGTGACGTGGACCCTGGGGCAGCCTGGGCTCCATTTTTGCATCTTCTCTTCTCTGGTTTCCATTCACCACAGGCTTCCTCTGGGACTTCCTGTTTACTGTCTGGCAGCCATCTCTACTTAGAGTGCCATCTTCAAGTTTCCTGTCTGCCAGTTCCTGGCCTAGGTTTGGCAGGCAGAATCTGCACCCACAGTGACTCATTTCCCACTCCACTGGTCACTGGCTGGAGAGCTGTAGAAATAAAATAACGCTGCCGGTTAGATGGGCTTTCTGCCCAGCCAAGAGGGTAAGAGGTCTTTTCAGAGAGACGGATGACTGTCTTCCGGTGACTGGCCTGCTACCCTGACTAGAAATGGGGATACTTGTAATGTTTACAGAAATGAAGGAAGAAAAGAGCAGTTATCTGCAGCAGAAGAAGCAGCGTTGCATAAAATAGGGAGTGACGTCGGGGGAGGAACGGGTTGGTCATCCTAATATGGCTACAACAGTGTTATAGGATGGGTTTTTAAAAAAAAAAATTACTTTATTTTTTTAAAACTATATATACAGAATAACATACAACTTCTAGACAGTCACTAAAATAATATTTTCATATCTGTTGATTATCTACAAATAAACCAGAGATCTGTTAAAGAAATAACATACCTTGATACAATGTATTTTTTGGAAGTATGTCTTTTTCAGTTATATATTGGATTACAGGAAACCATACTTCAACAGATTTAGTGATGGAATTATTTACTTTGCTATAATTAACTCTATCTGAGATTTAACTCAGGATAAAGTAGTCCCAAAGTCAAACTTGCCATTGTTTGATCTTAAGTATTTTCTTATCTTTCCACATGGTTGCCAATGTAATTCTGGCTATAGCTGTTGGTGGACTTGTGAATTAATACAGTTGTACTGGAAAGCTATCGTTCAACAAATTAAACAACAAACAAATTAATGATTTACTTTTAATACCAGAACTTTTTCTACTTGATTTTTGAAAGCAACCTTTAAAGGATAAAAGTAACATGAAATTAGGATGGGTTTCTGACGTATACTGCTTGTTGGGTCCCTGTGGGTTCTGTGAACGTCCGAGGGAAGAGAGTTCCAGAGTGGTGAGTCAGCTGTTACGGCCCCGTGTGTCCATCAGCGTCCTAAGTGGGTTCACAAGAGGGAAAGAAGATGGCCTCGCTCCAAGCTGTTCTGGCCATTAGCAGCCAGTTTCCTGCCAAGGCACAAAAGTCCTCTTGAAAAGATGGGTGGACTGACTCCTGCTGCCTCTGTGTGGGAAGTTTAAATGTCCGGTTCTTCATGGCAGTCCAGGTGTGTATTTTGGCTCTAATGGCTGGTCTATGAATCCTTTCCAGCTCCTTGGCTCGTGCTTTGCAGCCGTCCATCTTGATGCAGATGAAGCTTTCAGACGGGACAGCTCATCGCTTTGAAGTGAGTTCTCATTCTTCTAAATGGATCCAAGGGAAGGAACCAGTCTTAATTCTTTGTAGGAATCATGGCTACCAAAAGCCTTACAGCCGCCAGAAAGAATTTCTTTTTTGGCAGGTTACTCTGTGCTCGCTTCCTTGCTTAAACTAACCATTTGCGCTAAGGCTCTTGTTGCCCCCATCTCTCCTCTCAGTCACCATTTTCCCCCTAAAGATTTGGAGCTGGGTCTTGCAGGCGTGTGCCTCCTTCCATTTCTCTCTAATTGTCTACTGTACCTTTGACAACTGGTGCTTGTGCCTGGGGTGTGAACTGACTCCATGGACCAATATTGTGTGTGAAGCAATACAAAAGTCCCATTGGTGATGTTGGTCTGCAAGGACCCATTCGGCATGAGCATATTGTCACTTGATGGCGTAGTTATCAGGTAGCAAATATGCATTGGTCCACTGTGCAGAGAATACTTTTCAAAGGGGTAGTGAGTGACTGGTGTCACATAAGCAGAAAAGAGCTGTGAGGTTGCTAGTATAAGGCTGAGATCATATGCACAATTAGACCCGCCCAAGGGTCATTTTGTAGAAAAAGAGGTGCAGGAGCTCATTAGCATAACTCATTAGCATAACTTATTTGCATATGCCACGCCCCCTGACCGGAAGTGTGTCAGAAGGCAACACCCACCGCTCAGGCTTCACTGGACTGTTTTGGATTCCTAGCTATGGGAGGGGGGGATGTGCAGATCTGTTCTCACAGAGGAGGGAGAGCTTGTACCTGAATAAAACTTGGTCTTAAAGGTGCCACTGGACTGTTTTGGACTGGGGGGCCGGGGGGGGGGCTCTGCAGCTTACCTGGCTGCTTCTTGCTCTGACTGAGGGCTGCTGGGAGCAGGGGGTGGGGCTTGTTGCATGTGCCTGCCCCCGGGCTCTTTACTGCCGGAGCTCCGCTCCTGTGCGCTCCTGCAGGAAATGACCCCTTGACCCGCCATAGGTGTGAATGCTGGGCGGATTTAAAGGGCACGATCAGACGACAACATTTGGGAAGCGCCCCACAGCCGTTGGCAACCCGTTCTGCTCTGCCGCAGAAGCAGAGTTAAAAGACACTGGGGGAAATCAGGTCGTAAACAGGTTGTGATGGGCCACAGAGGGACTTTCCCCTGTCTGATCGCTCCAGTGTGCTCTCATGGCGTCGGGATGGTCTGATCAGGCCATCACGACTCCGAGCCGTTGTTTTTTCCCCCCTTTCTCAGTATGCACATCATCGCACACTCCATAGGGAGCCCTCAGTGCGGAGATGCGATTCATCGATTTCTCGTTTAAGCGCATCAGAAATAAACAACAACAACAAAAACCCGACTCACACATGGTTGCGTCTGATCACACAGTGGTGGGCTGCCCCCGCAGCTTCCAAGGACTGTGTGATCGTGCAACTGCGGGTCAAATTCCTCTGGAGGAAATAGCCTCGCTTCCCCCCTGCCTTATCTCACCCGTGTGACTGCAACCTAAGTCTCACCTTAGTCCCTAACTCTCTAGGTAGCCTTCAAGCATGCTTCTCTGAGTCTCCTATCTACAATATGAGAGTAATAATACTGGCCTTTCTTGCAGGGGGGTTGTAGAGGTTACCGCAGTAATGTGAGTGAAGCTCACCAGATGCTGAAAGTGCTATATAAATATTAAATGTTACTATTCTAAAAATTCCTATTGCAGTGTATAGCTTAAATTGTATCTTTAACTTTGCATCTTTGCTTTTTTGTTGTTGGGGGTTTGGTATTTTTGGCATTTTTGCATGTGTGTGTGCGCGCACCTGTGCCTGGAAGTCAGGGCGACCTCTGGCATCTCCTTCTGAGCCGTGGAGGATGTTCAGAGAAGTGGCTTGATAGCCTGCCTCTGCCTCCTGGCCCTGGTATTCTTTTGGGGTCTCCTGTCCAAATCCTTGCCAGGGTTGGCCCTGCTCACCTTCCAAGATCTGACGAGATCGGGCTTGCCTGGGCTAACCAAGTCAGGGCTTGTTCTTTTTGTGTTTTAAAGTGGTGGTGCAGCGCTTTTCTTTTGCTTCTTTAAAGAAAGCCGGTTATTCCCAGAAGTCCTGGCTGCAGGAGGATGCGTAAGAGCATACTGGGAACAAGTCTGAAAGGCTCAAACTTAGATGGGTTGTTTTGAACTTTCAGCATTTCCTTGAATAGCTGAGATGCTTGTCAGCAAGTAGGAAGGAACTTTCCATTTGTACGTGCCAGGAGCTGTTGTATAAAAGCATGCTACCCCAAAGTTACATTTGGAGTGAGATTCCTGTTTACGCAGCCTGGCCTGACATCTGCCCTAGTCGAGCAGGTTTTATGTAAACTGACAGCGTAAACATGCAGATTATTTATGACCTTTGAGCTCATGATACACTTCTGTGGTGCTAAATAAGTCGCCCTTCCTGTGCTGGTGCATGACTTAGTGAAATGGCACTGTGTGACTGATGCTTGCTTCTCTAGTCGTTTCGGAGTTACTGCAGTTGCGGAGATTATGGGACCACTTAGGCAGCATCCCAGGGGAAGTGGTCGTCTGCTCAGACTGCCACACAAGCGTGGCCCAGCCAGAAATCCAGCAGTGGCTCCCACCCATTTAGAGCGCAGTTGCCTCCCTGTATGTGAGCAAACCCGTCATTTAGTAATTATGAGCGCCAAGCTGGGTTGTAACAATGTCATTCCGCTTTAGTTTAATGTACAGCGACGAAGATTATGTAGTCTTGCAGATGTGAAGCAGTCCTCTGAACAGCAAGCTGCGTGCCGCCTGTCTTTTGTCATTTGGAAATCCAGCATGGCCGCCTTTTGCATGTGGGAACTGTGCCCCTCAAGAACCTTAAATTTTAAAGTGTGCTATAAGGGAGGCAGATTGTTACTTTACAGTAGAGATCAGTAGCCATTTCTACAGCTTAGCTCTAATCCTGTTCATGAATCTAAGGAAGGGATTAGATACAGGGAGGTAAACAACCCTTTGAGTTGGCAGGCAGGCTGAAAGGGAAATTGATTCTTGAAGATCACATTTTATAAGGCCACACGCTCGTGTGTTAAGTGGCTGGGATCATGTAACTTTATTTGGCCTTGGCTATCTGGAAGACCAGCACTAGGAAGAGTGGAACTCTCAACAGTTTTTTCAGTCTGTAGCTTTATGTTTTTTAAGAGTTATGCATCCAGGTTGTGATTTAAAATATATAAATAAAATATATAAAGATCACAATATGGATGCATTTAGCAGTCTGTAGATAAAATATTACTTGGCTGCATTTAGAATGTCAAAAAGATTCAATATTCCTGAAACTATTGTTAGTAGCTGGCATGTAAATAGTCACTCAGCTATGGTGAGTGCCATTAACCTCCAGGTGATCAGGCAAGGTAACATTTGAAAATCTGAGTTACTGTCACATAGTCATATGAGGCCTGACAGACTACTAAACATTTTGGCTGGTGTGTTTTGTAGATGTATATACAAAACATGGTTAGCTACATGATCACAGGTTGTCAAGGCACGTGACAGCAATCATCTTGCTAAAACTAAGCAAGTCTGGGGTTCATTTGGTGTCTGGATGAGAAGACATTGAGGAATCCTATGTAGAGCACCTTTTGCTATAGAAGAAAGGTAGAATATAAATGTATTAATAGTCTGCCTTCTCTGGAGATACATCACCTGAGTTTATCATCCGTTGTACAGAGTCAGAGTACTGGTACATATAAGTCATTATTGTCTGACTAACAGCAGCTTTCCAAGATTTCATCAGATATCGGGAAAGACCCTCTTTCTACATTTTTGTGATATTTTTAATTGGGGAGGCCAGGGATCTATGTGATTTGATTGTTTATTTGAGTATTTTTAGCCCCTAGAGGGACCCAAACCAGGTTAGGAAAAGAAGGCAGCTCCAGATTACAATGAACAAAGAAATCTAGGCTGGTAAGATGATTTCCACAGGCCCCAGGTTGCAAGCCCCGTACTAGGCACCAAAAGCAAGAATGCTTTGGCTCCTGTCCAGGTGTTTGTGCCTCTGGCCTTGCCCAGGTTAAATACTTGCAGGAAGAGGAGGGTAAAGGTCAGGTTAGATTGACCTCAGCGGCTGCGAGCATGCTGCAGTGAGCTAGCAGGATCTTCCTCAATGCCCTCACTCACTAGCCTCCTCTGCGCATGGTGAGCATGTATTCTGCTATTGAGCCATGGTACACACTTGTTATCCAATCCATTGGCTGCAGGGTTGGGGACTGAAGAATTTTCCCCTATCCCCGTGAGCTTTTTAAAAGGATGAGAGCAATCAGCTCTGCAAAGCAGACTGAGATAGAAAGTTTTCTGTCTGCTGTTAACTATAATTATGAACAGCAGTCTGGTTCGTGCCTTTTTGAATTGACCATAACTGCCTTCCTGAACTGCTGTAATTTTTCCCTGTTGCATCCAGTGCCCATGTCCTAACCCTTGTCATTCTCCATCCTTTGCAAAGATACTGCTAGCCTGACTGTCAATGCCGGTCACTTGTGGCATAACAGGAGAACCAATGTTTTTATAAAAGCTTTCCGGTCTGGTTGCCTGGATGCAGTTATAGCTCACCATAGACGATTAAGCATATAGCTGTTTGCAAGCCCGGAATCACTGTTCTATAATTCCATGAAGTTGGAGGGAGACTTTCAAGGGGGATCAACTGCTAGTGGCAGGAATTCTACATAAGCTTCTGTTGGGATGCAGAGGAAAGCCAGTATGGGGTAGCAGTTAGGAATGCTGGACTAGGTTTGTGAACACCTGGGTTTAAATCCTTACTCATCCATAAGTTCACTGGATGGCCTTGGCTACTTAGCCTCCCTGAGCCTGCCTTGGCGGGGAGGGCGGGGTAGTAATTAAATAAATTAATTAAATAAATAAAGATAAATACTCTCTCCAAGTTTGAGGGCAAGTAACAAGTAACGGAAAGAGTCTCTCAGCCCCACCCACCTCACAGGGTGTCTGTTGTGGGGAGGGGAAGGGAAAGGAGTTTGTAAGCCGCTCTGAGACTCCAAGTGAAGGGCGGGGTATAAATCCAATCTCCTCTTCTTCTTCTTCTTCATAATTGACTTCATAGGATTGTTGTGAGGGTGAAATGGAGGAAGGACCACCACGAGTTCTTGGCAGAATAACAAAATGTGATCACATGCTGGAATAAGGCTGGACTAGACCTGGAGTTCATCCACCTGTTTCTCTTCCGCTCTGCATCGAGTGCAGTTGAAACTAACTTGTCAAGGTTTCTGGCTCTGCAGAATTCCAGTTGCCTCATTTGACGCAAGAGCCAACGGTGCTGGTCTGCTTGTAGTCCAGCACCCCATGTTATGCAGCGGCCAACTAGATGCCCCCACGAGAGCATGTAAGCAGTGCACGATTCCCCCGGAGGAAATGGCTGCTTTGGAGGGTGGACTGTATGGCCTTATTCCCCGCTGAGGTCCCTCCCAGTCCTAAACCCCACCCTCTCTAGGCTTCACCCCGAATCCCCAGGAAATTCCCAGCCCTGAATTGGCAAACCTAACCATATCTGTATCATTCCTTGGAGATAGATCAAGATGGGTAGCCATGTTAGTGTCTTTAGCAGTGAGTATCTGAAGCAGTGAGCAGTGACTCAGGAAAACAGGCCCATAGAAGGAGAAGGAATTGAATTAATAACAGCGGGAAGCCATTAGTCATGGTTAGCTCTCATATCGATGCATCATACCTTGTCCAATCACAATTTAATTTTTTTGTCCCCCTGTGTTCTAGGTACCCCTTGCAAAGTTTCAAGAACTAAGATACAATGTTGCCTTGATCCTGAAGGACATGAATGACTTGGAGAAAAGGAGCATTCTAAAGATTCAGGACTGAACGTTTTCTGATGATTTGTCAGTACTTGAAGAAGTCAAGGGAGCCACAGAAAGCATAAAATCAGGAGTCCTGGCTGTGTAATTATGTGTATTGTACCATAACGTTTTTGAAACCTGCTGTAAATATTTTTTTTCCTTTCTTTTCATGTGTTGAAAGCTGTTGTTGGGTTGTTTTCTTTGTTGGTTTTCTTCTGGTCCTACATATAAATGAAAATGGCATTACCCCTGCTGATGAGCACTTCTGTATGATTCAGCAAAACGTTTTTATAAATAACCCTCCCTATAGATGCTAAGAAGCCCTTTCCGAATGAGCTGTGATTCATCTCCTTAATTATTTTAGAGAGTTTGCAAATGATTTGCTCAGTCAACATGCAGCATAAGAAGAGATGGGGGGGGGAGTGGTTTGCAGCCTTTCAGAGGACGGAAAGGGAAGGGAGGAAGCAGCACAAATCAAGAGGGACGGAATTCAGTCTGATCCATATAAAATCTGCTGGCATGTGGAATTCACAGGGGCAAGTTCTTCATGCTGCGAGAAACGGATGTATAGAGAACCCGGGGCTGAATGAGTTGTGACAGACCTTTCTGCTGGGACTGTTCTTCATCAGTCTCTCAAGATCAGTAGTCTTCAACCTTTCTAGAACCAGGATCCTGTGAGCTGCAGGGATGTGATATCAGAGTCATGTGACAGGAAGAGGGGGAGCTGGACCGTAACCAGCAGACCAAAAGGGCCAAGGACAAGAAACAAAAAGCTCTGGACAAGGACAAACTCTGCCTACCACTCACCTGAAGATCCCAACCCCTAGATGGAAGACCACAGCTCTAGAGCATTTGGTTTTAGGCAAAAATTAGCAGATGTGATTCCGTTGTTTTTCCGGATCCAGGCTTGTCAAAATTATTTATTGATTTAAAAACGGATACCCTGCTTTTCCTCTCTGAAAGTGACCTTGTTGTGGCTGACAAAAATAACACTAAATGGCAGCAATCTAAAACCCATAGTCAACTGTAACAGAGAGGAAGGCTGCCAGTCAGACAGAAAAGGAACACTAAAAGCACTTCAGCCATCAATGCCAAAGCGAATAAAAATGCATTGACCTTGTATCCTCCCTTTTTACCTGACATTGGGTTGTTTGATTTTCCCCATGTGTGCCATCAAGAAAAAGAGGAGACTGTCAATGCATGCACAAGTACTTCCTTATGGTGAGCATTGCCCCCAGAACTGTGACGCGCATTCTTGTTAAAAGAAAAAAACGAGGAGTGTTATTTTGGGCAGAAATTGGTACAAAGGCAAAGAGTGAAACAGACCCTCTCTCCCTGCTTAGTCTCACCTTTAAATTATCCCCACCCACCCCCCAAGCTGCATTCTGTTAAATAATAAATGCAGGGGGGCCCTTTAGGCTCTGAGTTGTCTGGGAGTTCAAATGACCTTGCTGGGGTTTTTGAAATCCGAGCCCTTGTCTTTGTTAACACCTGAAGGAGCCAGTCCTCATTTGTTCAGACTGCTTCCCTTCTTTGTTGCTGGGGTGGGCGCACGGGGAGGGGGGGCACCAGAAGGGATTCTTGCCTAGGGTGCAAAATAAGCTGGGGCCGGCCCTGTGCATTCTGTTAAATAATAAATGCAGGGCTGCCCTTTAGGCTCTGTGTCGTCTGGGAGTTCAAATGAGCTTGCTGGGAGTTTTGTCTTTGTTAACACCCGAAGGAGCCAGTCCTCATTTGATCAGACTGCTTCCCTTCTTTGTTGCTGGGTGGCACTTGACAAGCAACTTCAATGTAGACCCTGCTTCTGAGCAGACTAGAAATTGTATCTGCCTCCTAATCTCCAAGCAATTGGAAATACTACATGAGATGGTTGTCCTAATCAAAGCTCTCCAGTCTAGGATACCACCTCTCACTTGTCTCTGCATCTTCTCTTAGTTATAGTTGCAAGACTTCGTCTGTGAGTCTTTTGGGCCCTGTATGACAGTGGTGTGAATCTTTTAACGGTCATTTCCTCCAGTACTGCTCTTCATTCCCCCAAGATGCAGATGGTATCCTCAGTAGCAAGCAGGGGATAGCTGAATCGCAAAATCTCTAGCACTTGCCATAAAGGCTGAGCTGTGCTGCCTGCGTGGTTGTGGTCCTGATGCGGTCTCTCACCTCTTGCTTACCCATCATGAATCTCCACAGGGATCACCCTAGGTGTAGTGAATGACGGGTACTTTACCATGGCCATTTTTATTAGCAGTGGCACATTTCAGAGCTCCCAACGGGCCTGTGGGAGAAGAGTCTGTGTGCAAAGTCTGTTTCATCACTGCCCCCAATTGCTCCTTAGGAATGCCAGCACCTGCAGAGGCCCATTGGCCTGGGCACTCCACCGCCCGCTTACCAGCTGCAGATGTGTTGCCCCTGCCCTGCCAGAGCATTAATCTGCCACAACCCCCACCTCTTTCTCGTGTTCACAAGAAACTCTCCAAGTGTTGATGCTGTAGAATTTCCCATCTCAAGGGGGGACAATGTAATCACTTAGGCTGATCCTCATTCAGTTCTGATGGCACCACATTCTTTCTACCCCCCCCCTTTTTTGATTGGACACAAGGTCTCGAACAACCCAAAACCATCAAATAATGACATACTACTTATAAATACTTTTAATTTAACTTTAAGCCTTTATGCCTGGAAGAAGCAGCAGCTGACAACAACTTTGCCATGGCTGCAGTGCAGTCGTAGTTTACATCCAAAAATAGGGTTTGGGAAACTGAATCTGGCAATCATGCACCAAAATCCACCTCTGGATCTGTTGCTCTCTCTCTTTGTTTAGCCAGGGGCAGTCCACCGTTACGTGTGAGATCATAGCAATAATGCCAGAACTACATTGACAAAAACTACTCAAAAAAGGGATACCAAAAAAAACATGCCATAAAAACGCATAGAAGGGAAGGCATTTAAACATGCTAGCATAAATGCTCAATGTTCTGAGAGAACAGTAAGGGTGGATGAATAATGAGGGGGTTCTTCTGTTGGAATAATTCCTAGCACTAATGGGGAGCAAACCTGTCTTCCTCTGCTTCAGGTTGAAATAAAATCAAGCTCAGTTATTAGTTATGTTAGTCTTTTCCTGAGGCCCTAAGGATTTGAGGAGGTGATATCTTCAGAAGTGACTCCTAGTTGAGAAAACTTATCATCTAGTGTCCTGGGCCAGGGGCTTTAAGCTGAATCCTGGCTCAAGAGATACCAGAGACCATTGGAAAAGCGGGCAGAATTTTAGCTCTAAAATTTAAAGCATAGAGCTGCGCTAGTGCTTCAGCTGATTTAATGCCTAGCTCTAGCCTAATTGTTGGAGTGGCAATACATGAGGGAGGCCACCTATTTGTCATTTTAAAAAAAAGAAATAGAGATTATTCACTGACTCATTAACTGCCCTGATCCATATTGGGACACCATAGAGAAACTGTGCAAAGTCTCAAGCTTTAAAAACCCATAGTGCTACTGGAAAGTACTGAGTGCCCCCCCCCCCCACATAATAGAAGTGAATGGTCACTTTCACCACTCCTGAAACTTTTAAGTAGGCCTTTTTCCTATGTCTGTCCCATTTCCGATTAAAGAGGAACCAAACGCCCAGATACTTTTAGATTTTTACCTGATCAAGTTTACAGTTATTTAGTATTCAGCGAGGACTGGTATTAGATGGAGTCTTTCTAAAGACCAAGACCATGGATTTAGAATAATTTATCTCTAAGGACTGGTGATCACAATATAGCAAAAAGGTTTTCATTAAGTTCATAAGGCAAATTCTGTTTCTAGAAAGCAAAAGAGCATCATCTGCATATAACAAAATTAAAATGGGTTGCTTAGCTAAGATGGGAGAGCAGAACTGGTGTCTCTTGAGGGTGCTCAGTAGATCCTTTAAATATAAATTAGACAGCAAAATTGCCAATAGACAGCCTTGCTTAACACCCTTGATCACCCTGATCTTCTTAAAGAGATGTCCATCAAAAGTGTAACATACCTGGGCAGAAGTACTTGTATAAAGAAGAAGAATACGCTATAAAAGGCAACAATCTATAGATGTTGCCTATAATTTTCCCCAAAGATACCTTCTAGGCACAGAGTCAAATGCCGCCCTTAGATCCATAAAGGCAGCAAAAAGGACTCCTCTAGGGACCAAATATTTATAGGATAAATGAGCGAGAACCACCCAGTGATCTAAGGTACTGTGGCCTGGCTGGAAACCAATTTGATTTGAGCCAAGAATATTAGACTGCTGCACCCAAACTTTCAATTTGTCCAGCAAATGGGAGGAGTAATGGGAGACCGTGTGATCGGGCTACCGCGCTTTATTTTGCTCCGGAGCGAACAGCCACGCCGCCCCCCCCCCCGCATTATCTGGCCCGTGTGACAGGGGCCCATAGCGAAGAATTAGCTGAGGATCACAACCAAGGAGGAACCTGCTTGAGTGACCTTTCCCCACTGCCCTGCTGCACCTCCCACTGAGTACAGATGCTCTTGCTCTCTGTGCATGCACAGCAGGGTCAGGTCATTCTGCCTCCCGTGGCAACATCACCACTGATCAGGCTGTGCTCCTCCACAATCTGGTGTGTTGCCATTCCTCTCCCACCATACTCCCACTGACCTGCCACCAGAGGGAGGTTTGCTCAGCTTCTCCCTTCTCTCCACACACTGACCAAGAAGTTTTACTGGCCCAACTGCAGAACGGGGATAAAATTATCACATGAGACAGGTTATTGCCCCCATCTCCTTAAAGCTATGGCCTAGGTGGAGAATAACACATAACATGGAATTCACTGCCACAGGAAGTGGTGGCGGCTACAAGCATGGACGGCTTCAAAAGGGAATTAGATAAGCATATGGAGCAGAGGTCCATCAGTGGATATTCTCTCTGTTTCCCTTCTGCCAGGCTTTATCAATGAAGTTGGGTATGAGAGCCCCTCCTCCAGACCCTTCTTTCAACCATATCTGACTATATAATAACTAATCCTGGAAATGTATTTAATTGCCTCCGTTTTACATGTGTGGCTGTTTTCTGTGAACAAGACAGTGGCAAGAAAATACCCATTCTGAACATCTGTCAGGAGCCACCTGGAACTTATAACAAATCACAGCAGTGTGTTTGATATGCAGCCGATAGCCACCATCAAAGATGCACTGCAGCTCTCTCACAGGGCTCTTTCCCGTGTCTGCTGCCAGCAAAAATAGTTTCTGAAGGATATTTCCTTTCTGATGCTATCTCTACACTGTTGGTAGCCAGGATTCACTCGCTAATGGTCTCATTATGAATTTGCTTCTGTGTAGTTGTGCG